TTGCAAGATGTCAAGAGGATACCTTTATCTGGAGGCGCAGGTCGTCAGCGATGTGTGAGATTGTGCTGTGGGTATGCTTGTGGTGTGTTGGCTTTTCTGTTTGTTTTCCATTTCAGCTCTGTCCGTGTGACCCAGGTTCTCGCAATGGCATCCAAGTCAACGTGTATTGGTCGTGATGGGAAAAAGGGATGGATCCCTTTTTTGCCGGGGAGTGTCAATGGAGTTGAAGATTGAACGATCAATTCATGGTTGTTTGCTCAAAACCAACTTCCCCAATTTTCGCGGAGGCATCAATACGACAGTCATCGTCTCATCGGTCGATGTTCAGAAAGAAGTCAGGAGACAACTGTCAGAAACCTTAGTTGTAACATTGTTTATATGTTAGTGTTACAATAAAGAATCCTCGAGTCGCCAATTGGTGTTTTGGTTTTTTCGCCCGTTATTACTAAGCGTTTCTGAGAAACTTCAAGGAACAGCGTGAGCCCGAGCGTATCAAGAGCTGGGCATTAACGGTTTATGAGACGTGGCTGACACCTTACTATGTTCACTCAGATTAATGGCCTTCTGAAATTTATTTGTTTTGTGAGCCGTACCCGTGATCATTTTTAATACTTCAGTTGTTCTGCTCGCAACATGTTTTAGATATGCTGTCAGTAACTACTTATCGCTATTGTTTTTTTCACACTTTTCTCTGTAACTTTCATAAGTTTTCACAATGTTGGTAATTTCCTTTGTTTAATTTCAATTTGACGTATCACTTCCTTGTTGCACCAGTTTTCCTTGGATTTATTCTGCCCAAGCTTTTGTAATACCCTCATTCTGATTTTGAAATCTTAACCCATTCTCCCATTCTTCTTTTCTTGTTTTATCTTATTCCTTCTAATACGCTGGTATATTTGTTGTCTTTAGTACTGATTACTAGTTGCTGTTAAAGTGGGGAGTGGAGCATTGGTCTAAGATGCAACTTAGAGTTAATGAGTCACTTTTCCGCTATGACAACCTGGGCAACGGAGGTACACCATCAGACCTCCACATACGTAAAACCGTAGCAGTATGGGGTAAAAACAAATGAAAATAAGATACTAAAAATATAAAAAAGAAATGACCAAAAATAAAAATAAAAGATATAAAAAGAGTATAAAAAACAACAGCTTAGAAGCCTGCAATCGCACTTAGGCACCAGCCTCATTTCTTCCTATATTTCGCCCTACTCCACTAACTACGTCCATAGTGCCTCTAATTTGCCCTAACCTTTTTCTTTCCTTTCACAATTTTTATTACTATCATCAATCTACCTTGCTCGTTGAGTGCTATTGTACAAAGCCCTACTCTAAGCTCAATACTTTCGTGTACTGAAGCTTGCCGGTTTCCCACCAACCTTATAAGGGAGGATAACCTGAAGCGCGCCTTGAAACTTTGAATTTTTGTTTTAATGAATTCATACGCTTTTGACGCCACACCATCTTTAGCATTCCGACGTTTCTGTACACATGTGGTTTGCTGTCTTGTTGTTCTTTCGTTCAACCCACTCTTCGAGCTTACTGCCCAGTCGAGGCATCAGATAAGTTGTGTAACATCTTTATTTATAAAAATTGATATTTCGTTTTTGTAAAATATAACCCCGTCCCAGACACTTAACATCTCAAGTCTTTTTGCTTTAATTTCGTTAGTCGTTACTTACACGTTAGGTAGAGTACTTATAAGGTTACTAAGCGGTGAAGTATTTAGGTGGGTTTATTTGTGGTCTGTCTTAAGTATCAACCCACACTTGCTAGTATGTGATACCGGGATGTGCCAACCAGTTGAGATTTGGTAGTTCTTGGCTATTGACTTCAACCATTAGATCGAGATTATTGTCGCCAGTGCAGATCTAGTCACATTTGTGAATATTGTACTTTGGACAGGATTTATCACAGCGTGACGCAAGACTGCTTAGTTCAAGATGATTATTATTTACCTGGCAGTTTAAATCATGGTTGTAAGAAGCAGCATGCTACAGGTGTTCGAGGTAATACGTAAGGTCCCAACCATGTAATTTTTACAAATCTTTACTTCTGTCGGCTTCGACACAGCGTCACTCAAAATTGATGGGAAGGTTGCACATAAAGTAGTTTCGTCGCGGACGTAAATACCACCACGAATGATGGTCACTGCGCTACCATTAAAGTTGACAGAAGGTATGGTCCTGAACTTACCTCTCACTTGCGGCCTCTTGACTCCAGTGGACGTCAGAATGGAGTTACCGATTGGCATCAGCGATCAAGTAGTTTTCCAGCAAGGAAAGCACTCATTTTCAACTCTGTTGTGGTAAAGACAGGGAAAAGTTTGGCGTCAACCTGTTTGCCTGGACAGTGCTGCTCACTAAAGGCCGAAAACATTGGTAATCATTGGAGTGCCCTATCAACATGTCATAGAGTAACACCTCACATTTAGCAACCATACAATATTAGCCCAAATGCGAACTCTTTAGCAGGACGTTAGATAGGACATCTATTTGGTTTTAATAAACAAGCCAGGCGAATGAATCCTTTGAGGGAGGAGGGAATCGTGGACAAAACTAGGAGACTGTGAAACAAACATAAGGATCATCAGCCACCTGTAGCTGTGAAGAAATGCATAAGACAAGAGGCATGTATCTGTAGAAGTTATATGGGCAAGCTTCTTAGGAGATCAAGGATAGCTGAAGCCTTCAAACATTCCTCTGGTAGATGGCTGAACGCCAAGGTAGCAAACGACAAACTTATACACGAGGAAACTTCATCTATGAGGGGTCTCAAAGAGCGATTCTTAGCTCACTGTTAATTCCAAATTTCAAGAATGATTCGCTAAATGATTTGAGTTCTCTGTTTTGCACATGCATATACTCTAAGCCATAGCATAGTTAGAAGAGATTTAGTGGCAGCCTACAACATTTTACATGAACAGAAACCACCTGAATAGAAATACGCTGACAGAGGTGCTTTGAGTCAAAATGTGGGGTAGCCCAAAGAGAGTTAAGTGTCGGAGGAAGTATCACATTTGGGGCCCAGCCTTTTCTTTCTTAGGGTTTTCCCCTATGGAATTCCCTTCAAGCCAGCGTAGTAACTGCCGATAGTTCCGATCATAGATAAACAGGTGGTCTGAGCATCAGAAATAAATTAGCAGTGAAGAAATGCATTAGTGCTGCAGATATTTCTCCTCTTTGTCTAATCGACGTCACTGTTTACTTTTTGTTTATTTTATTAGAAGTTTATCATAGCTGGAGTTCACACTATTTTGGTACCAGTATGAAATTTTCAGCATGTGATATCGGTAGCCTAAATTTAGCAGGCAAATCATCGATATCAGCTGTGCGTCGGCCGGCGATGGAACTCCGAACCATGTGCATGGTCAGCGAGCGTCCTAACCACTAAGTCATCGACGCACACCTAGATTTCTGCACTTTAGCTCCCCTTCGGAATGTCTTGTTCCTCTTTATTTTGCTCTTTGTTTTACCTGTCCCATATTAAGTCCTACTGTCCTGTCTTCAGTTCGTCTTACCTGCTCATTCTCTCGGTTTACTTTTGTTTTCTTAAGGCGGCATTTTCCGAATACTTTCGACATGTCCGGAGGACTGTCTGGCAAAATCTCATTTGCATGATCTAACAGAGTTTCTACTCTGTTACAGCCATATATACTCTTCAAACAAAATCCATTATCTCCTTCCACTGTATTCATAAGAGCCAGAAATATACGAGGATGTGTTATCTGCTCTAGATCCACAGAAGAAAGAGAAGTATCTGAATCACCTAGAAGTATGCTTATGGAAATCTGAAGATTCATGCAAGGCATTCGCTCCGATATTGAGGGGGCTATCAAGAACGCTTTCGAAAGCACAATACATTTAAAAGTGAGGGCTGTTCTTCCTTAAAATAACTTTCATCCTAGTCTAGGCCCTAATATATTGTGTGTGCATTAGTGGCCACTGACAAACAGAGGGTGGCTTCAGTATAAGTTCGTTTTATCGATCTCAATAACCTCTGATGTAAGACTTCACTAGCCACGTCCCCATTAAATTGTACTTTCATGAACAGTTGTTTCTTTTTAACTGTTGTCAGTTTTTTCTTTATTGTAGCTGGTATTCACGTGTTTCCTTATAAATCTACTAGGATAACCCATCTGGACCAACGTATTTTGGATCTATCCTAGCTCATTTTCTAGGGAGTCGTCTGTACAGATACGTCTTGCTGTATTCGTGAGGCATCTGACCAAATTGATTTTATATCGGATTGGTACAAAACTGAGGAAATGTGTATATTGTCCTACAGTTGTAGGTTTTCTATAGACATCTTTCTTGAGTGAACCGTCCTCTCTTCTGTTCAATTGGACGTCAAGGAAATGTAGTCTACCATCATGTTCTTTTTAGCAAGTGAAGATGAACGATGGATGTGCATCATTAAACTTTTTTAATATTTCATTCTTGTCAGCTTTCCCATCAAGAATAATTAACGTACCATCAACATAACGAAAATAAGAATCGGTTTTCTCTATTGCACATCCATCGCTCATCTTCACTTGTTAAAAAGAACATGATGGTAGACTTCATTTCCTTGACGTCCAATTGAACAGAAGAGAGGATGGTTCACTCAAGAGAGATGTCTATGCTTCTGTGCGTCGGTGGCACAATGGTTAGGACTCTCGCCTACCATGCACATGGTTTGGGGTTCCGTCACCGACTGACGCACAGCTGATATCGACGATTTGCCTGCTAAATTTAGGCTACCGATGTCACATGCTGAAAATTTCACGTTTGTACCAAATTACTGTGCGGAATTAAGCTACAATAAAATCAAAATAAATATATGATAGATAAATACCAACATTATTATCCCCCTATCAAATTCACCTTAGCCCTAACCTGTCACTTGTTGAAAACCCAACCTAATACAGATCTAGCGAGATATTCAGTTCGAGGTCATCACAATTCACTAAGTCTCCTAACCTTCAGTTCTTCACACTGACCAATCCAAGGTCATTGGTGATTTCGCGCGTGTCTGACATGGAAAGCTCAACTTCGCCAGACACATATATTATTTATGTACTACTGTAGTAGTGGCTTCATCCAGTACAGCATAATTGTTTAATTGACCTTAAGTCATTCACTATCTAATTAGGCGGGTTCGATGAAAATGATGTTGACCATTGTGCCGTGACCTTGACGTCTATTTCAGTTGATTTGCGAGGACTTTTTGCGGCTTGCAAATAATGCTTTGATTAGCAAATTTTTTCTAAAAAATAGTTAGTCCAATTTATGTAAGTGTGTTACACGGGGAAGGGAAGTTTTTTATATCAAGTCTCAAATGTGTTTCCTTTGTGTTTTGACTATCACATCATCCTCTTTAAATAATAACTTTCACTGTATAATTGTGACACTTGTTTCCGATTGCTTTTACAACGTCACTAGGCAGGTTTTTCGCGTGGATTGTGATGTTTTATGTTAAATTTCATTTGACTGAAATTGTATAAAATTCCAGTATATATATATTTCAAGTCAGTGGTTATTAGCAGTTCGTATTTATCTTTCCTAAACCGTTTTCTATCATTGTAAATTCAGAAAACTTACACGGGTTTTGTGTGATCAGCCGTAGAAGTCTAATTCTGGAACCTCTACCTCACAATCAAGAAGCGAGCTCAAAGAAATCACTGGTTTATACTAGCTCGTAATCAGGATATTGGATATTGGATGTTTGCTTAACTGAGACGCATTGTAAGTACAATGCTGTACAAAGCTGTACAGCTTTTTACACATAAGCAGTGCCCAACAAGATACTTTTACTATTTAGGTTTGCAACAGTCGATGCATTGAAGCCACACACTAGTACCTGTACGTCACATTTTGATGATGATAATTCTGTATCATGTACTGAAGTAATGCCTCAATACTCGAAAATTAGTTTAGCGTCCCTCTTCGACACTTGTACCGAGGTACTTCGGTTTGTAAAGCAATAAACAAAATATGTAACTTGTCCAGTCTTCTTGTGCCTTTTTGTGTAATCTTGTATTAGATATTGGTTTGAGTTTTAACTTAAAAGTTGATATTTAAAGATAGCACATATTTAGTGTTCGCTGTTGGAATTAGTTCTGCTTAGAGATATTTTCAATTGAAGCAGCCAGCTTACCTTATCATACATCTATCGTAAAAGGTCTCACTTGTCTAATGTCTTTTTGGATATAAGTATCTGTATTCGGCAAGGATATAACGTCTACTGATGGAAAGTTAATATAAAGCTTGTGTCGATCCGTAGACGATAGTGGGTGGTATGACAGCTGCAACAGATAGTTCCACAAGAAGTGTACTTTGTTTAATTGCACAAATATGTAGGTTGTTGAAATGTACAGTGTTTATGTCATTCTTTTTTCGGTAAACAAGACTGACTTGTTTAAAAACCTGTAGACTTAAGATTCTTATTACTTTCTTTCATACGGTGTCTATTATTGAAGGTAACTTTCCACACTGTGGCTATGCTGTCGGAATATTACCATTGCCTTGGATTACAAGTGTAACATGGGGCTTTAAGAGCAAATCTTAGTTCCATCCTATTCTCTGCAGTCCTTTTAAGCTGGCTTCACGATTGCCCATAAGCTTTCACCCCCGCACAATCTCATCCATGTCACTGACTCCCTGCTCGTATATTGGTAAATCCAATTAGTGTTTTACAAGAGATATAGGTGGGGCGCGGTGGACCCATGTAAATCTGGAGCATAATTATAAACAGGTCAAATAGTTGAGATTCGTACAACTAACTTTCAGGATGCAAGTTTCTGATATATCACGCTTGGTTTACTTCAGTCCAGAGCTTTTACACAGTACATAAACTTGTATCGGTTTGCTATGTTTCGTTTTCATTTTACTATACTTAACTAACTGATAGTCATTTCTTAAATCGTCTAACTTGTTTGGTTTCGGAATTTCTTATTGGATTGTTTTCCTTGGTCATGATCACTTTATTCGCTAGTTGTTTTTTTCTGATGCATTTGAACTGCCTTTCTACGATGCTAGTGACATCTACTTACCTTTTTCTTTATATCCGTGTCACGTTCTTCGCAAATATTTCGATCATCTCTAGTTGGAGTTTTTAGTGATAAAGCATTCTAATCTCTTTCTGAAGTATCTATAATGGCGTAACATATAATATATGGAATACCCTAATAGGAAAATTCCAATGGTTTGACTCACGAATACAGTTTAACCTATTTTATCATTTGATATTAGCAACTTTGTATTAAACCTTCCAATTTACATCTCTTTTAGATTGGCTTTTTGTTTAGCCTTTAAACCAGAAGATTCACTTAACTGAGTAAAATTTGGTAAAAGTCAGAAATCATGTCTGGTACTCAAATTAAGACGAATGAACCACAATATGAAAATTGGTTGGGTGCTCATTCATCAAAGAACGATAAACATAATCCGTCTGTTAAAACGTCGTTTCCAGATGTTAATTTTCCACGTGGTTTACAGCTGTCTGCTCGACGTGGACCTGAAGTTGAGTTATACGATGTGGCTGGCGTTCATTTACTGTGTCCACCGGATTCGCAATCCAACAATCGGGGTAGTGGACATATCTGGTCTAAATTGTGTCGATTGAAATCATATTTTAATTTTAAAGGAAGAAATACTTTGTCACCAACAGATGACTCGCCAACTATTTTGTCAAATAAAAGTACGAACTTTAACTCAAATGCATTTAATGAATTCAGTCCCAGCCATTTGCCCACTAAAGCGACACAATACCCATCGTCATCAAATAATAATCAGACAAAAATACAAACACATGGTGGTTTGTTATCCTCATCATATTCATCTTCAAGCTGTCATCTTGTCAAACAACAAACACATATTTCTAATATGATTGGTCGGTTATTCAACTGGTTCACTCTAAACTCGTCTAATCATGATCTTGATCATTATAACCAACCTTATCTGTCACCAAAAGTTTATCGGTACTATAGGAATTACTTCATTTTAAAATACCGCCAAGCTGAAATCAATGTATTCATTTTTCTTAATTTAATTGTTTGCATTTTCTTTATGTTGACCCTATCACTGTATGCAAGTGACTCATCTTCAAATTCCTTTGATTTACCGACCGACCGCAATGGTGGCGACAATACACCAACTCTCCAACACTCATATATCCTTCCTAATTTGCATTTAACCCATCCAAATTTAATACGTCTAATCCTACTAACTAGTTCATCAGTCTTGCTTCTGCTCAGTAGCTTTTTTGCTAACTTGCCTTGCATTTCGTCGAATCTACAAACTGAAAATTCACTGTCAAGTAAATCTTCGTGGAAAACAAAGGTAGCCGGCAAATCTGTATATAACAAGAAAAGTAATAATAACAGTGACAATACTATTGACTCTGGAGGTCAAAATAAGTCACATGAGTGTGATACACAAGAGATAGTGAATTTGATATTGGCCCAAAAATTACGTAGAAATCTTCTCTGGGCATATGGACTAAGTTATGTGGCATGTATACTTATTATTTTGGCTAATTTACCCTGGTTCAAATCTTATCAAATCTCATCAAATTCATATACAAATCATCCATTTGTTCAACAGTTTAATTGTAATTCTTCTGTGGCATACAAAAGTAAGTTTGTATGAAAGCTAATTTTATCAGATACTATTTCTTGTCTATAAACCTTCTAGTAATATATGCCCAAACATAATCTTTACTGAAGGCGTACTAACCTTAGATTATAGTGTGAAGATTTTGTATCATTAGTTTTCATATTTAAGATGTACATTTTAGGTACTACACTACGTAGCATTTCTTACTACCAATTAAAGGGATTATGAATTTGCAAGTCAATATACCTTACTTTAGAAAATAGTTGCTTACACACATTTGCCCTATCTGTTACTTCCTGGTTAACAGCAATTATTGATAACCAACGGTACGGATAAGTAGGATTTAGATGTATGTTGAATGTCGTGCATTTGGATTAGTTTGACTCTCAATTTTATCGATAGCAATATAGGTTTGAACCAAGTTAAGATTTAGTAGTTCAAAAATATCCAAGCATTGAGTATGTGATATTCAGTATCACACATTATTTCGTGTGTTTCCCAAAGAATGAAAATCAAAAATCGTATTGTTTCTTACTATCATTAAGCTGTTTACTTATGCTGATAGCTTTATCAAAGTAATAGTAAATCTGAATTTACAAAGTCTTAGCTTATAAGCAATAATTTAATCATATTTATTCAAGTGTTGGTTTGTAGGGATTTGATTGGTTACAGGATTTTCATCATGAGCTGACATTAAATAGAGAACCATTGGAAAACCTGGGAGTACTGGACAGCTGTTTCGTCCTAGTTCTGGGACTCTTCAGCAGTACGCACCCATCGGGATTCGAACCCAGGACCTTCTGGTTACAAGGCGAGCTCGTATACCATTAAGCCACTGGGACCCGTTCCAATGGCCCACGAATTCTAACTTCTGCCAATTCACGACATAGCGCGACCCCAGTCAATGTCTTCGGCGAGTATTTGTCCTCACACCCGACCTGCTGCACCCTACTGGTCATAACTTCCCACTGGAACCGCAGGTAACTACCTACCTGAATAGGGCCAGTCGCTAGTGAGCATCTCATTGATATTCAAGTGTTGGTTTGTAGGGATTTGATTGGTTACAGGATTTTCATGACGACTGGCCCTATTCAGATAGGTAGTTACCTGCGGTTCCTGTCTGTCTGTCTGTTTTCGACATAGAACTTTGCACAAATGTGCGGAAGTTCAAGTCGCCACATTCCGTGTAGCACGCGAAGCAAGAGAAGAAAGTACAAGAAAAGCATAATAGAAACAGTGAGCAGAGGTGTGAGACAAAGGAGTAATAAAGAAATACAAAACAGTTTCATTGAAGATCATGAGTCACAGGGAGTGGATGCATCTGCGCCACTGAGAACGATTTTGAGCCATGTCACCAATTGTTTCCAACCATAGATTTTTACCGTCCCGAGGACCCCAGCCCGGAAGTCTACACCTTTCTACGTGGCTTAGACCAACTGTTGTGGATTTCATTGACTGATGCCAAGTTTTTGTTTGACCGCCGCTAGCTTTTTTCCAGCCTGACCCTATATCCGCTAACATTGCTCGTCGAGGGAGGCGATGGCTTGTCATACGTAACACATGTCCTAACCATCTCAGTCTTTGTAACTTCACGACCTCGTCGATTGATTTCCCCAGTTCACCTAGAACTCTACGCCTAACCTCCATGTTGCTCACCTTATTATGCCACTTCACACGGGAAATAGAACGCAGGCACCTATGATCAAAGACAGCTAATCTTTTCATGTCTTCCACTCTTAGTGGCCAGGTCTCACAACCATAAAGGAGGACGGAGCGGACTGATGAGCAGTACACCCGCCCTTTGGTCGGTGTATATATATATATATATATATATATATATGAAATGCGTTAAAATGCCTGTGATTTTAATCATAGTTCAATATCAAGAAGTAAAAGGGATGCACAATTAATAGGATTAATAAGCAAATGAAACATTGTGAGAAGCTTGATAAAATAAAGTTTAACACTTGCGAAAAAATGTATTGATTTTAGGTAATAAATGGAGCAAGTAAAATAATAACAGAAACTGTGTGAAAAATAAAAATAATTGTAATGATAAGGGGAGAGTATATAGATTAAATAAAGAAAACGAAAAATAAATGTTTTCCTTTCTCTGCGGGTATGGTAGAAATGGGGATTGTACATGCTTGTTTTGTACAAAATGGTCTCTTGAATTCATGAATATACGATGGTCTCTATTTCTGTAGAAGTTCATAAGGAAGGAAGAAAACGTGGCAAGTGAGCATTTGTACAATACGTGATCCTAAAGTCTTGGTGGGGGTTGGTAGAGTGATAGAAGGCGATGGAGTATTCTGGACTAGAGTTTCTAACACTTCCTTTCTCCACTGTAAAGCCGTACGAAAATGTTCCGTCTGATCTGTATGGAAAGCAATTTCTGGCTACGGCCTATGTGCTTTGCTCCACAAGATCAGATGTACTGGTAAATCCATATGAACACGGTTAGACGAGGAGATTTGTATTTCGCCCGGACGCAGATCAAATTGCTGCTGGTGAAGATCAATTGGAGTCTGTCTACAAAGAGTGTCTTACCGACTGGTTTAGAAAGACGACTTTTGGGCATGCCCGAAGCCTGATCGCCACGAAGATAGTTTTCTTTGGAATTGAGTTAGTGACTAGTTTAACATGTTTATTTTTATTTTGTTTGTGTCACCAAGTCTGTCTGAATGACTTTTCAGCAAACGTGGCTTTACAGAAAGACCGGGTCCCGACCGAAAGCTGCTACCTTGACGTGGTGGTCGGGCTTGAACACCGCAATGACCTAATCAAGCTATACTGGCTGAGACTTATGTCTCTTGAGGTTCTACCATGCCAGGCAGGTTGTTTGGATAGCGGTTAAACAAAAAGCAGCTACCCAATCCAACATCATGTCCAATACAAAATTACAAAATTTCATGCCGGATCGGCCGTGGCCCGGATTAACAACGACCGCGCTTCCTGCTGCCGTGTCACAGGGCGGGAGTGATAAATCTGCTACTGAGACACACAAAACAAAAAGAACAAACAAAAACAGGCCGCGTGTGACCGGCCTCAAGCAGTTGTCCCCTGGGCTCTGCGGTCACGCAACCAACTTCCACGGTGTGGGCAGCCGGGAAGTAACAATCGCCCTCACAATCCGAAATGCACACGAAACCTCTCTATTACTCACTCATCTTTGTCTTCATCTTCATCTCTATCATCTTGCCTTCCTTCCACTGATGCAACTCCTCGACTTGATAGCTCTCCACTTCCTCTCCACTCTGCGTCCACTAAAAACGATGGAAGCCAAAAAACCACCACCGACAGCCTCTTAAAGCCGCGCCACCAATTTCATATAGGAGCTCTTAATGTTAGGACACTTTGCCAAATAGGACAACAAGCATCACTAGCCAAGACCCTGGCATCACGAGCCATTGATGTATGCTGTGTTTCAGAAACACGCATACAAGACCCAAGTGTGGTTATTCACCTAACCCCACCTGGCCAACAGGTTGAATCTGCAAAATTCACCTTGAGGGTGTCAGGAGATGCCACAGCTAGTTCACGAGGATTAGCTGGCGTAGGGATAGCTTTGAGTACTAGGGCAGAAAAGACATTGCTTGACTGGATCCCGGTAGATAGCCGAATGTGTGCTGTCCGCCTGAACGGATCAGTAAGAAGGAGGAAGGACTGCACTACTCGCCGATGCCTTTTCGTAATCTCCGCCTACGCCCCCACTGACTGCAGTTCAGATGAAACGAAGGATGAGTTCTACCAAAAGCTGTCTAGTTTGGTGAGAAAGGCTAAACGCTCAGACATAGTCGTTCTAGCTGGTGACTTTAACGCTCAAGTAGGGAAATTGTGTCAATCTGAGAAGGATGTCGGTGGCACCTATGGAGTTCCGTGCCAGCGAACCGACAACGGTGACCGTCTCCTACAGTTCTGCTCTGATAATCATTTGTTTCTTGTAAGCACTAACTTCAAACACAAGGAGAGACACTGTTTGACTTGGAGACCCCCTTCATCAAACCAACGCTGGACACAAATAGACCACATAGCAATAAGCTATCGTTGGCGTGGGTCGGTAGGAGATTGTCGCTCCTTCTGGAACACGTGCGTAGATACCGACCATGCACTGGTCCGCGCTCGGGTGTGCTTACGACTGAACGGACGTAGGAAACAGCTGGCGGTAAAACCATCACGTCCCCAGCTCGATCAGGAAACTAAATCCGTATTTGAGGAAGAACTAGCTAAACACATATCTGTGTTCGACAGCTGTGCTCACCCTGAAGAAGCTTGGAAAAATATCCAGGCAGCCATAGATACAGCTGTAAAAGCTGTGAATAAGGTAAACCCAAAGGTGAGTAAAAACCACTGGATCTCCACCGCCTCATCCGAACTGATAGATGCTAGAAGACTTATTCCGGCGAGCTCCGAATTCAATGAGGAGCGAAAGCTGCACAAGAGGAAACTTACGAAAAGTCTCCGCAAGGACCGTGAACAGTGGTGGGCGACAAAAGCCAAAGAGATGGAGAAAGCTTCGAGGATAGGCAACACCAGGCAACTCTTTGGACTCATCAGGGAAACGGGTGGGAGAAGACAAATCATTAGTGAGACAATCTCGGAAAAAAATGGCACTATAATTAGCTCACAGGATAGACGACTGGATCGTTGGAAAGAGCATTATGAGGAGCAGTTTAATTTGCCCACAGCCACGCTCAACCTTCCGAGCATCCAACACCTCCCTGAATGGGATATAGATACAGGTCCTCCGTCACTAACTGAGGTTACTAAAGCTGTCACCAATCTGAAACTAGGCAAAGCAGCGGGACCTGATGGAATGACTCCAGAGGTATTTAAGTACGGTGGAGACAGCTTACTGTCCGGATTAACTGAGGTACTAGGCAGCGTCTGGGAATCAGAAGAAGTCCCATCGGGTTGGTGTAAGTCACTGATTATCCCCATATACAAGAAGGGAGACAAGTCTTCCTGTGATAATCACAGAGGGATTAGCTTGACTAATATAGTATCTAAAGTCTTAGG